AGGAGATACCCTTAATAATTTTCAAAAAAAAATAAAAAATACATCATATATATGTTACTCTCAACCTGCAACATATGCGGTGATAATTAAAACAAGAAAAGATTGCTTCTCTATCAGAGGGTGAAATCCTAGGTGGACTATGTGATTGTTATAACTTAATGCTAAAATAAAAATATTTTTTATTATTATAAATAAAATTATGGTTTAATATCTCTCATTTTGTAGGAGATAAAATTGTCTTCTACATACACATAAAATATGTGAGATCTATTTTTTTTCCTCTTTACATGGCTTCTATTTATTTTTGTATATGTATAAGAGATAGTTTTATCTCCTATAACATAATACATATATTCCCCTTAAAATTATCTAAGAAGACGTTTGGTTAAGGAGAAATTTTTTAAATACTAAGAAAATGTAATTAATAGAGAAATAGTTGGAAAGTGAGTTTGGTAGGAAAATGTAAAAAAAGTTATTTGGTAGGAAAAAAATTTACCGGGCAAATTAAGTAAGATTTATAAAGTCTATGTTTGGTTTGAGGTAAAATATAGATGGGAAAATAAGTGGCAATTACGAAAATATCTCTGTTTTTAAAAAATTTTGATTCCAAAATATGAAGTCTATGATTCTCTCTATAAAAAAGGTTGATGTTTGGTTCCAGAAGCTAATGCAGGAAGAGCATTCTCATTTTCTTCAAATTGAATCCACTCTGCAGAAGTTGTTCTCTTCATGCCACTGTACCAACATACTATTAGATGAGATGAAACCAGACTTGGTTGCATGTATGATGATGAGGGTATTATGGTCTGATGCCATTTGCCCGATTCTTCATTTCCCTGGCTAAGTTTGAAACACCATGTGCAATTTGTCTTTCGTAAGAGTGAATTTTTCTTGCTTTCTAATACACAAAGTCGAAAGCTCTGCAAATGTAATTGATGGAAAAAGTGAAGGAAACTGTCTACCAACATGAGTCTTTAAGTTAGCCACTTTCACTAGACATATTTTTATATAACCCCAACCAAACACCACATTATAAGAGAATTCATACAAAGCAACCTGGAATTCAGGAACAAATGCGCTTGTTTTGTGAATATACTACTATACGTACAGTTACAAAGGTAGATAATATATAGGCTAATGCAGACAGGGTTGGCCATTCTTATTTGGATGAGTTATAGCAAGTCCCTTTCTTGGTGATTTGGCAGGGAGATGTGACAGAGACTGCTTTGTCATCTTCGATTCCATGATGGGGCCACCCATGTCACCTGTTACGCGCTCTCACCCATTATTCGCTACCTCTCTCTATATAAATATAATAAATAACAAGTTCTTGTTCTCTAAGGGCTACAAAATCAAAGTACTACATATATTTAGTTCCAAAGTACTGAACCTCTCTGTGTCCTCTAGGCCTTTTGTATCATGGCAAGACAATCCTTATCAATGAGATTTCCAAAGCCTCAGTTAATGAGACGGTGTTCAAGGCACTTCAGGGAGCAGAAAACTAAATTTTATATCATTTGGAGGTGCACAGTGCTTCTTCTACGGTGGGAGTAGCGATTTTAATTGGTGTTTGATAAATAATATGGGAATACAGTGAGCCTTTTTATATGTTATGTTCAATGGCAGAGTGGCTCTGCAAGGTTTCTCTGCCACAAGATCTGCTCCACCAAGTGGTTCAGGTATTGGAGATTTGTTATATGATTTGCCAAGTTTTCTTGTTTTCTTCTCTTCTAGTCTGGAACGTTACTTCGCTGATAAAGTCGAAGTGGTAGCATGTACAATTGTTGATTAACATGTACAGTAGGTTTTTTGTTTTAATCTTCTTTTACTCACTTGGCCTACGATTGTAAGATTGTCAACATATATGTATCAAAACCTCTATTTTTTTTTTTTTTCTCTTCATGTTATGTTGTAATCTTCATCCTCTGGTGAGGTTTCTTTTTTTTTTGGCTATATAACTTTCTTCATTTTATTTATATATTTTTTTCCCTAAATCCCTCCTCCTTAGCCATCTCATAATTATGACTGCGAACTTGATTATACTCATTATAAAAGCGCTTGAACCAGCTTTTACTAACGCCTCTCTTTTTTATTACACTAACGTGTAGGCGAAGACTTGTGAAAAATAGTCAGTTCTGGTAATGTTATTTACACAATGGGTCTGCTGACATGGGTAGTTGTATTGTTTCCGTGTGGATGGGATATTTCAAAATGCTTATACTCAAGTGTGAAAAACATTACAATATTAATAATTATGAATCTGATTATATATGTTGATCCTATTCCAATTTTGTTACAGTTACATGCCACCACTGAATTCTTGACCAGGTGATAATTAACAGTCATAGTGGAGAAATATAAGCTAAGCATCTTGGTGAAATAACTATTATCAACCCTGTAAATTTTAACTAAAATTTGACTCTGCTGCGTTTCTGTTGAGAGACCCTGCAACTTTAGGATTGGTAAGTACATTTGCACGTGCTAAAGGTGCCGATGCGAGTTTATCTTTTTATGAACAGTCGAGAATGAACTTCGCTGATTTCATTACCTTCTAAATCTAATTTGAAGTTAAAAGTAATTTAAAATCCAAGTATATGAAAAAAAAAAAAAAAAAAAGGACAATCACTTACCAGATCAAATGGAAATCTAGATATAAATTACCATAACCTTTCATTCACATATCGAGAGAAAAGTGGAGGCTTGTTGAAAGGAGTTATACTAGTTTAAATGCTCTCCTAAGCAGCACAAAGTTTAATACATAATGAGATCAACAGATTCAACACGATACATTACAAGAATAAGCAGGCAAAGATTAAAATTATCATATCAGACACAGTCTCTCTTCAAAACTGCTCATGTCTTTTTGGCCAAAGCAGGCCTTACCTACAAACTAATTACCTGTGCTGGGGCGTACATAGGCTTCCCCATTCTGCAAACCCAGTCCATTAACTCCGAGAGAACAAATGGTTCATTTACACATAATTTCTCTCACTCGTGATCCTCTCATACGAGGCTTTTTTACTCTTATAACCCTTTATTATTAATTAATTACCGATTTGACCTTGATTATAAACTATTTCAAAAATTTAACCCTCTCAAAAAACATAACACCAATCTGCCCCTGTTTGATCGTTGACCACCAAGCCTACCCGGGTACACCCCTCTGTACTCGGGTATTTTTTGAAAATTTTTGTCTACCCGGGTAGGGAGGCGTGTACCCGGGTATTGTTCTTCGCACATGAGAAATTGCTTGAATTATTTACCCGGGTAGAGAGGGGTGTACCCGGGTAAATCTTCGACCACACGGGTATGATTACTCTTTGGATCTCCCATGCACTCTTCTTCTCCAAGCTTTGAATATGGAGGCACCCACTATCACATGCTCCGCCTCTGCAACTTTTTTGGGTCTGTAAAGCACACAAATATTTTTCAATGATTATTTTAGAAAGGGAATTCTCAGTTAACACTATAAAAGTAGACCCCATCATAATCGATACGAACAGGGACCGCTTTGATGAGCAGTAAAGTGTTGATGTATGGAAATTCCAAATCCATTCTCAAAGCTAAAAGCTCTTCAAATTGGTTAGGCATGCTTAACTTGATAATACTGATCTATCTCATTAGCTGTAAAAAAGAGAAAAAAAAAAATTACCATGAAACAATTAATTACACATCCGCAAATATAATTAACTTGTGGTAAAATCATCAAATAAATCATATCTGTTCTTATATCCATCAGCTACAAGTTGCCCCAGTTATAGCAAGTACCAAATGGGTGGTCGAAGATTTACCCGGGTACACCCCTCCCTACCCGGGTAAATAATTCAAGCAATTTCTCAGGTACGAAGAACAATACCCGGGTACACTCCTCCCTACCCGGGTAGACAAAAATTTTCAAAAAATACCCGGGTACAGAGGGGTGTACCCGGGTAGGCTTGGTAGTCAACGGTCAAACAGGGGCAGATTGGTGTTATGTTTTTTGAGGGGGTTAAATTTTTGAAATAGTTTATAATCAAGGTCAAATCGGTAATTAGTTAATAATAAAGGGTTATAAGGGTCAAAAAGCCCTCATATGAGGAATCACTTAATCTCACACGTTAATAGAGCTCACAGGATTGAAAATGGTTATCGCATCACACTTCTCGTGCTAGGGAATATTCTCTCGTGCTATATATATATATCTTCACTCCTTGTCATGGAAATCATTTTATTCACCATTGCTCATCATATTGTTTTCTTTTTGAAATCTGTCCTCACCAGCAGCCATAACTGAGCACTTCATTTCCTCCTTGATTCTTAGCTTGTTTGAGATCATCATGATAACCTCCATTGAGCTATAATTCATATTATTGATTCACTTTATCAGTGTTACATCTACATCTATATACTTTACCTTTTTAGGGGATACATCACCCCTCTTACCTTAACAAGTTCATTACCCAATTAGATTACCTTAAAAAAAGCAAATTACCGACCTGAGGTTCAAATGACAACCATCCCCACCCTTTTTTTTCTTGTCTGTCACTTCACTAAAACCACATGTCCTCGTGAAAAATAAGATTGGAAAACACCGTGCGAACTTGTGTCTCTCATGAGATGCAACCGCGACAAGTTGCATAGTTTTATTTTTAATTAAAGGCACAAGTTCGTATGATACTTTACAAGACTTGCTCTCATAGAAAAAAAAGAAAAAAAAAAAGGTGACTTACCATGCGATATAGCTCCTAAATAAACCCTACTTTGGTCAAAAAGCAACTGCTTTCCCTTAAGTTCTTCCTGGAATTCTTCTGCAGCGCTAAAAGAAAAAGGGTACACTAGGCATAAGTTTCTTTCAGCAATTTTCAAAAATCGATATTATTTCTTTCACTGCTAATTGTTGTCCAAAACGTTGAGTTTTGACTAGAAAAACTTTTCTTTTTGGTAAAGATGATAAAATACATTTCGGTTCGAACATAAAATAGCAGCAGAGACGCACGCACGCATGCAGCATAAGTTCGATAAGCTTCCACTAGAATAAAAAGCAAAACATGCGTTTATGGCCCTTCCAAAAAAGAAAGTTACTAGATTAATATACATTATAAGATCAAATGACTAAAACACTCTCATGTGATTCTTTTTTAACATCATATTGCTGACCCAAAAAGCAATCCGTCAATATTAAAGTCTCATTATCCCGATAGGCTAAAACAAAGTTCCTTGTTTCCTTGTAGGATTCTATCCATCCTCCTCTGCAGATTTCTTCGGAGTTTGCCCTGGCTTACTTTGGCCTCCCTGGATGGTTAATAACAAGACCAGAAATACAAAAATAATGAACATACATGCTGGAAGCAACAAAAGTTAAATCATTCTCAAAGCCAAAAAAATTTCTGGCTAAGAAATTTTGAATCTTTGGTTGAGATATCCATAACTCTTCTCATATCCTTTAAAGAAACTAAGTTTAAATTATTAGAATTACAGAAGGGCCTAAGAGGTGCAGACCGCATCCTAATGCTACTCATGAGTCATATCTCATATAGTATCATGTATCACTCCACAGCAGACTTGTTTAAATTGAAAATGGATATATGATGCAGAGAGAATTGATCAAACCTAATTTCATGACAAGAAAGGACCAGTTCCTTCTTCATACTCCCATTACATAGAGGACAGCTTTCACTATCTTCCATGGTGCTTGTTCCAATATTCAACAATATATATAAATGATGAAAAGATTGTTTATTTTCATTGGTCAGGACTCATTCGTACACCAAGAAAGTATGGAACTATGTTATAAATATCCAATCAACCTTGATCTTGGTAAAGGAGGAGGAACCATTACTAGGAGTTGCATTGAATAAAAGCGGTTAATTATTGAATTCAAAGTAAAAAAAAGAAAAAGAAATATTAATTAATTCAGCATTTAAACTACTATGCATTTTATCACAAAATAGAAACATAACCAAACAATCCACTTGTCCTTTCATTTTGATAATATATTGAATAGTGAATACTGAGAATTAATACATCTTTTTCACAATAAAGTTAGAAAAAAATACAAAAGAGTCAGTCCCAACTCCCAAAGATATGGAGGCATGGATCACTAATAATATCCTCCATTCAAAAAATGAGAAGCTGATAAGATTAGAAGTTTATGCTTGAATAAATTTACTCTTAAATGAAAAAAGATTATGAGACAAGTAATGTCTTTCTGCAATATAATGTTTTGAGTTATCATAACAGGTTTGAATTCCCATCATCAAATCCCATACAGTGTTAAATTTTCAAAAAATGCTGTCCACTACTTTATACTTGAAGCTTTTAGTGGAAGAAGAGATAATACTTAGACTACTATATAAATCCATTCAAACCATGTCCTTAAACTTATACAATGCCATTCAAATCATCTAGAATTATGTGAGAAATATATAGACCGTGCGAAGAAAAATGAAAATTCAGGAACTGAACCCCTAAAAAGAATCTTTTTCTCAACTCAAGAGGAAAGAAAAAGATTGATTTCATTTAGCAACTATGGCAGACAAGAAACAGATATTATGATGAGACCTTGGGATGCACCACCCCACAAGCTAGCTCAAAGGGTGGGAGTGCCCAAGCACAAGTCCCATACCTTGCAATTGGAACCCCAACATTCCACCACGCTTCCCTAGTGCGTGCCGCCACGCACAACTCCACGTAATGGATGCTCTGATACCATTTGATGAGACCTTGAGATGCACCACCCCAAAAGCTAACTCAAAGGGTAAGAGTGCCCAAGGCCTTATAAACTCCACATTAGTTGCCCATACAACCAATGTGGGACTCCAAGTCCCATACCTTGCAATTGAAACCCCAACATATTAAAACCATAACAAATGGATAAAAACAAATCACTTACTGCTCCCTTTTGGCCAGTCAACCTTCGGGTTGATGGAGCTCGGGCCACTGAGGAAGCAGCTGCAGCTGCAGCAACACGTATTCTGCAAAATAAAATTTATATAACATCAAAATTCAGATTTGCAGCAGTTTCATCTACCTGTGGAACTTAAATTTTGAAAGTTTGTACCTCTATTACCTCTTATGAACATCAACATATTCATCTGTCTCGTCCACAATTTCTTCCTGCATCGGAGTAGCAATTATAATCAGTTTTAAATTGTTGGGGAAAGGGGAAGGGGGAAGAGAGGCATATTTCGGAAGACAGAAATTTACTTGCAGAAGTTCTTCAAATACATCTTCCAAAGTGATAATACCAATCACTTCACCATCTTCAATATTTTCTGAAGAGGTACCATTTATTGTGTTATCACTACTTTGCAAACCAGTTGGCTTATTAACGGAGGGAGGCCTTGAAGGCTTGTCAATGTCAACAACAACACTTCCTGATTTCACATTTTGCTTCTGTAGCAACGGAGTAGTCAACTGTGAATCCTCACCAATACTATTGTTTTCTCCATATTTCTCTTCATCAATTATTTGTGGAGTTTCTTTGCCTTTTCCCCTAGCATTAACAACAGCAGCCATATGACTACTGCCCTTTTGGAACTCATTCAGTATATCATACAGAGGCATATCTGATGGAACCCTGCATATATAAACCACTACACTAACTACAGATATTTCACATTATTTTGAAAGAAAATGACAAGAGAAAAAATTAATAAAGACAATCACACCGTGGAATTCTCCGGATGGATACAGCACTGACAGGGGTCTCTGTCTCAGGTCGTACAGTGAGAAGACTTTTCACCTAATATTAAAAGAAATAATGTGAGGAAGAAAGAACCCAAAAAGTAATAAACTGGGAAAATATAAGTAAAGTCAAAATGTGGAAAAACACACACCAGCAGAAGGCCAATAATATTCTTTGGATTTCCAGAATAGACAGGAACTCGGCTGTGCCCACGAGCAAGAATTTTTCCCATTGCTTCCCTGATTTGAGATTGGCAACATAAAAAAACTAATTCAATCACCTATTTGCAACCTACGAAAGAATAATGACCAAGAAATTAAAAAAAACTCACCAGTCAAATTTTGAATTAACATCCAAAGAAAATGTTGATTCAATAGGAGTCATAGCCTCCTCAGCAGTCTGTTCAAAGACACAAATTAAAAGGAAAAAGAAAAGGCAATTTGTATAGCAAGCTGGAAAAAGAATGCATAAAATATGCCTTATTTGTGTGAACAGAATATAGCATGATAGTTAATATCGAAGTAAAACAGAAAATTCAAGTATGAATGAGAATGTATTATTTATGGAACATGAAATCACTCGAAGTGGTACATTGATAACCATTTAATAAACCTAGTTCACTATTCCATGTCTAACACCATTGACACCTCCTAACATCCCCAAATAGCAGACATTAGTAAGAAGTTACCAGGTACGTGAAGTAACCTTCACATGTTTCCACTTTCCACCATCATTAATGTATATTAAAACTCAAAAATAGGAAAGAAACTTCAAATTCTTCTCGTTGAATATGATAAACTAAAAATTGTATTGCATTGGCATGAAATGGAACACTAATAAATAGGTTGTCGACATTCAATGTAGCAAGTGAATTGCAGCACTTACCTTTTCTGTCAAATCGAGTGCTCCACTGATAATTGTTGTCTCATCATGTGTAAGCTCACCACCTTTCCCAGCCTAAAAACAAGCAAATTCAAAGTTTATGAATCAAACACCAAGACAAGATACTTAATTAACTTCCCCAATCTTGACAAGACTTATTCTGTTAATTGAAAAATAATAACAATAATTTATACCTCCTTACTGTGAATGGAGACAAGAGCTTTTAACTGAGCTCGCCTAAATAAAGCCTCATTATGCCCCAATAGGTAATCAAGAACCTGGAACAAACATCAGTGAGAAAAAGAAACACTTTGTGAGCATAATGGTTAAAATAAAATCCATCACCAATAAATGAGAATAAATGGAGTTCTACACTCTCAGCAGTGAAGAACTACAACTGTTAGGAGATTGGGCAGGGTTTAGCCAAAAGGCATGCCAATAATATTGTTCATTTTCTATTAGTAACACACCAAAGCATTCTTTCAAACTAGGCAAGGCAGATATAACTGTCTCCACAAAACAACTTCAAAAAGACTTAAATTTGTACACACATCATAATCAACATAACATCTCTGCATATTGAAGACTCGTGGAAATATCTAGAGATGATAAGCTACTAATTTTTTTGTTCTCTTGCCAATTATATTATATTGGTTATCATTATCAAAACAATACTAAGGAATAACCTCGGTAGGAGAATATACCTTTCCAACTGGATAAGAAACTGGGTAGCAAATAATCATTAAAATTCGCACAAGCCATGCAAAGTTGGCACCTACAGCAAGTCCGTATCTGCTACAAATTGCTTGTGGAATAACCTGAAATCAAAGAAGCATTTTTTTTTTTTATATATACAAAAAAAAGGACTTCATATTATTCATTGGGTAGAAATGTTGAGGCTAAAGCACTGAACCACAAAAATAGCAAAATCACATACCTCCCCAAAAAACAGAACGAAAGTTACAGAGAGAATGATTGCAACAAATTGATTGAATAGTTTATCTAGGTAAATTGGAAGAGCCTGCAGATTGCAAGTTGCAAAGCCAACAGCTGTTTAAAAGTTAGGCAAGGTATAGGAATCAGTATGAAGTGTAAACATATCATTCAATATCAGACAGAGATAGTTGTTCCTTGGCACATGGCATATCATAGTAACTCCGAATGACAAATTATAGTATAAAAGGGGTATTGCAGTTCAATTACCTCCATGGCAGCAGCATTACACAGAAGCAGAGTCACAAGAAGCTGGTGTTGTTTTTGAACCACCGGAAGTATGATGGCTGCATATACACACAAAAAGGGTTTTTATTTTTATTTTTATTTTATTTTTCAATCGTAATCCAGTAATGAAAGAAGCAACCCCATAATTAACACGAAAATAACGTTGAGCAGTGAAGAATTGTATTTGAAAGGTGATGATGAAAGAAAGGGAAGTACCAGCTTGCGTTTTCTCAGAAGGAGAACCACTGCGCTGAAGAATCTCGAGGTCGACGAGGCCAAGAGACATGAGACCAAGTGTGAGACCGGACATGATTCCAGCAAAGAGGACGAGGAAACACGAGATTCCCGCATACACGAACCACCACACCGATCCAAAGGATATGCCTTCGTTGCCAAGGACAGGGACTGAGTGGTCCCGAGTCAACATCCGAGTCACCATTAGCGCACTCACCACATTCATCATCCTATCCTCCTCCTCCTCCTTCTTCGGCTATCTGGTCACGTGCTACTAATACTATGGTGGTGTAAGTCCTCGAACTGGAAATTGTTATGTTGGATCAATGCGATTATGCTTGGACGGTGATCCTTACTCCACGTCACTCTTAAGCAATCTCCATCTATGTCTGTCTGGAAACAACAGATCGGGCTTTCGTACTTTCCTTAATTTCGGGCTTATCGTGTATATCGTACAGTGAGTACTCGATACTGTAATAAGTTTCTCCTCGTACACCGTCTTCCTACCTTTTTGGACCATTTTTCATTAAAACTCGATGTGAAATTCTTACAATTCTATCCCACTCAACAAATAATGTGATGTTAACAACCAAATAAAAAAACTAAGCAATTTAAGTTAGTCATCAAAATTTAAATAGATATTAAATTAATACAAAAGTATAAACTTGTTTACAATACTAACTAACGTTCACAACGACACACAAGAGTTTATAAAAAAATGTGCTACTATGGTATCAAAAATTAATTTAAACTCGTTTGGTTGAGACTCATGTACATCTCTAAAATGAGTTGTAAATTCAGACCGCATATCTAATATGAGTAAAGACTGAAGGTACCAGAATCTTATTATTTGTTGAGACTCTGAAAAGAGAGTCTAGTTATCAATGGGTCAACTAAATTTTAATTGAATTAACATGACTTGACCTAATAATGTTATAATTTAACACACTTGGGTGAAAATTGCTGATGGACCTTTTATTATTTTATTTCAGCTAAATAAAAGCTCAAAGCTCAATATTGAGAGAAGCTCATCAGGAACAGTCCAATTCAGCAATGCATAGAGGGGCAAAAGAGTAAAAAAAAAAATGGATTGGAAGAAGGGCACAACCATCGTGGGTGACTCATTTCAACCCAAATCAGAAAGCTATCAAACGCTATCCCCTTTTTCATCTTCCCTTACTGAAGCATCCAACCACATCAATCCATTTTCCATGGTTTTCTAGCCCAATCCATGATCTGAACCAAATCATTTTCACAAAATACAATTTACAGAAGAAAACCCCAATTGTTTTGTGAACCTGAGCCAGTTACACTTCATTGGTAATGAATGCGGGTGGAAAGAGAAGATGATTGTGCAAAGGATGATCGAAGTGTGAGAGCAGAGACACGTGGTTGTTGATGCAAGGGTCACGAGGCTGTCACATGCACAAGAAGCGGATATAAAAGAAGGGAAGAGCGTCGATGTAGGGGGCTTCTTCTTCCTCTTTTTCATTCATCTTCTCCATTTTTCTTTATTTTTATTTTTACGTTTCTGGTATTGTAATGGACTCTTTTTTGTTTCGATTAGAATATGTCAGTACAGTACCGAGGCTATTCCTGTGAATAGGACCCATGCTGTATTTTAAGCTTTCTGCACTTTATTTTCTCTGTAATTTTCATTTCATTTTCTGTTTTTGTAGCTCAATCCTTATGGGTATGAGCTAAACCTTTGAAGGGTTGGGTGACCGAGACCCCAACCATAGTGACTAGTGTTGATTGCTTTTCTGGAATGAATGTTTAATTTCTTTAGTTCAACTCTGATTTATATGTTTGAATGTTATTCCATTTTGGCCGTATAGAATATGTTTGCTTAGGAGAAGTTTATTGGGAAATAAATTTCTCTGAAAAATGAGTTGAGCTCATGGACTTAAATAAAGGATTATTTGAGGAAGTAATCAGGGATGATTTTTACTCCTCCATATGGCCAAAAGGACCTGAGCTTCAAGCTCTTAGTCTCACCTGCTTAGGGATAAGTTGTGTGAGAACAAAAGGAAAAATGATTTTTAAGGGATTAAAAATTCACAATAGTCTGCCAACTGAAAACAATTGTGAAATAATTTTGTTAAGCAATTGGACACTAAGGGCTCTGGGGAAGGAATCAGAAATCAACCCAATTTTTAATTAGATTTCTTAAAACTTTGTCAATTCTGTTTGTTTTTAATTCAGTTAAATCATTTAGTAATCTTTGCAAAAATATAATTAAATTGAAAAGTCCAAAAATAATTTTCTCATTTTATTTTATTTCTATTAAGAAATTGTTTTCAAATCTAAATCAGAAAACCCCTCAAATTCTGTTTGTTTTTAATTCAGTTAAATCTTTTAGTAATCTTTGCAAAAATATAATCAAATTGAAAAGTTCAAAAATAATTTTCTCATTTTATTTTATTTCTTCCATTGTTTGCATTAAGACATTGTTTTCAAATCTAAATCAGAAAACCCCAAATTCTGATTGTTTATTTTATTTTCTGTTTATCAACATTAATCATAGTTTTTTTTTTAGAATTCAGTTTTAAGCAATTACAAATTTTAGTCAAATCAAAAAATGCCAAAGATCCTTGTGGAAATGACAAATGGGATCTCAAATACGCCCTATATTACTTGTAATTGCATATATTTGTGCATTTCTTGCATACTCTTTAGCAAGGCTAACATTATTCATAAAGCTTTTGGTCTGTGCTCTCCCCATCCAAAATTAACAAAAGCTATGTACTAAAAAAAATTAACAAAAGCTACGCAATCTAGTTTGCCTCCAGATTGTTATCTTTTTTAGTTATGGTTCAAAGAGCACTTCATGTATTTTCCAGTACTAACTACATAAATTGCCACGAACCTGCGCCGCTATTAGATTAGGCAGCTAAACTACGCACACAGAGACAAACAACTTCGTAAGTGGTAAGAAAAGACAGAGGATAAAAGGTTAAATTTTTGAGTTGTGGCGTTCCTATTGCCAACTGAACAGAGGATAAAAAAAATTAACAAAAGCTACGCAATCTACTGCCCTTTTCGATTCGGGGCGGGTTCAATATTAAAGCTTTAAACCCCTCCCAAAGATAGTATTGAAAAAATTCGAACTCATATTCTCACCCCCACCTACTTAGCTTCCATGCGCCAACTAAACTACCACCAATTAATACCCTTTATAGCTCTAGCAGTGCATCAGTATCCTTTAACTTCTCCATTTTTCCAGAACTTTTTTGTCGCCTTCTGTTTCCACTGGGCTTGTTATCACCATGGTGCATATTGTTAGATTTGGTTTATATTTCCTATTTAATTAATAACTTTCGTTGACGGCATGCATGCATAGAAAGTCAACAGAGTTATTCTTGTAGTTCTCGGGTTCTTTTTTTTTAGTAATTTGGATTTAAATTCATAAATAAATATTATTGCTTGGAATTTTTAAACCTATTTATATTCTCTTTTTAAATATAATATTTTGTAATAAATGCGACGAGAAGAATATGATAAAATATTACTAAATATAAGCCATGTTAATTGAATCAGAACAAATTTGTATTTGTGTTCTTTTTTATTTTACAATTGTGTATGTAATTGTTTGATCTCAATTATAGTAGTTAAAATCTCGATTTATTACTATAATTTTATATTTTTACATTTTTTATCAAAATAATTTTATCAATATCTCAAATGCTTTTACATTTTACAATATTTTATAAATTTTTTACGTTAAGATTTTATGTTTTATAATTTTTTATCTCCCTTTCGATTTTACTTAAAATCTTAATTTTACTTGGTCTCAAACACATATAAACTCAGTCACACTTTTAGCATTCTAAGGCATTAGTTTTGCACAAGATTTTTACCACTTAGCTCCAATCCTATAGCTTGCTCGTTGTGTGTGAGTCTCCCTCTACTTCCAAAGAAATCATATAGAAACGAATTGGTAGGCTTATTGATAATCAGTAATTATCGGGAAAACAAATTGCAACATAAAATACAAATCTTTTCATGAGTTTAATTGATGATAGTGAACAGAAAATAAGACATTTGAAAAAGAACACAACAGATCACTTATTATGATCAAGGCAGCATATTATATTATAGGAAAAAATATTTATCATTTTAAATGACACAACTTGTGTTATTTCATTCTCACAAATATGTGGGACCCACACTTTTTTTTTGTCCACTCTCTCTTTCATGATTTATCTCTTTCTCTCACTTAAAATGACACATATTTTTTTCTATATTATATCCATTGGTGAAATACAAAACTATTATTTACCAAAAGAACCCCAATACCAAAGTACTAGAAATTCATATTTAAGCTACCCCTTATAGTTGGAAACTCAAGCTCTTAAAAGTCATTTAGAAATTTGTGCACATGACTCGGGTAACCTGCGGCTTTGTGGGTATAAAAAAAACTTATTAATATTACAAAATTTTGAAAAATTTAGAGTAAATTTTGAAATGCCATAATTTTTTACTATGGTGTTTAAATCAGGTGTTTTATTTTGTTCCATATAACTTTTCGAGAGCTATATTTTTTCAGAAATATTTTGAATATTTACTGATTATATGGCCCATATACTCGAGTATATTGCGTGAAATAGCAAATACTCGAGTATCTGGGTCCTATACTCGAGCAAATGTTCAAAAAAAATTTAAAATACAAAATATACTCAAATATAACGTCAAGTACTTGAGTATATGAGTTAGTCAATGATCAAACAGAGAAAAATTAATAAAACGTTCTAAAACAAGGGTAAAGTAATACTTATTTTGATAAGAAGGGACAAAATGAGCAAATAGCCCTCAATCGAAACATCCAATTTCAAAAGCAACAAAAAAAATGTTTATTTTTCTTCTTCCAAACAGATAATCTTCTGTTTTTTAATCATTATTATTATTATTTAATTCATTTTATTCTTTATTTTATTTTCTACGACAATTCTTATAAGTTTAATTGAACACCTTTTGATTAAAATATATATATTTATTCAGTCATTGTTTTCTTGTAATCGGCTGTGGCGAGAAAATTCTGATACCCATGTGCTCCTCACCAGATATTTATTCCCACAACTCATTCCAAATTTCATCGCTATTGCGTCATATTTCATTTCAGACTATACTTTTCTTACTCATTTTGTATTTGGTTTGTTGATTTTAGCTTATGGTTGTAAGAACTGGGAACTAATTAGAAGAACAAAGTAGGATAATTTTCTAATATCCAAAAAAAAAAGTAGGATAATTTTCTTTTAGTTTTACCGGATTCGGTTATTTACTATTTTGCCTCTGAGGAGCTCAACCTAATGCCAGTTATGACAACTGATGATTTGGTTCGATTTTTGTTAAATCAAGTAAATTGTTGTGGTTATTTACTGTTTATCATGAGAAAAATAAACATCATACAGTTTGATACCACTTTACAGAATATATCTTTACTATAATTGATGGAAATAGTGTGTT